AAATAATATCCTAATAATATACCTAATATCATTTGTCAGCATTTGAAAACTTGGATTAATTCTCATCATTTTATGGACCAAAAGCGGTGCCATTTTAAAAGCTAACTGTTAACACTTAATTGTCGGAAGATTATTATTCGTGAAATATTATAAGCCTTTTTAACAAGTAATTATTATCATTACTTATGTGTCTCTGACAAATTCTGGTCAGTCTTAAAAATATTCAATAAAAAGCTTACCTTTAACAGCAGAACATCGTGGAATTTGATCTTTAGTTATTTCTTATACATTACTAAGCAATGTGAATAAGAATCTCGGCATCAGCTGGTTTGTATTCAGGCTACAGGGAATTTAATATACAGATATACAAGTACTTATATACTGGTTGGTTATACTAAAATCAATATATGAAAGTAATGTGTTATATTACTGACACTTTCTAAAGCCCAATACAGTATACATTATTATGTCTACCAACTGACAAATACCACTGACAAACGCAAGACCCACCATGACAATAGAAACCTTTTCTTTTTTAATTTGTCCAGCTATTAGCCTTCTTCAAATATTTACACAGTAGAGGTCATAAACTTGTGAAATTACGAAACACTTTAGTAGATAATGTACGCTTTTAAGGATACATTTAGTTCATCAATCGATTTACTTTTCTCGTCACACTGACAATGAAAATAATTTTGAATTTTTTAATGTACCGGAAAACATCTGTTTATCTTGATTGCGCTGTTTCATACTTTATTGTTTACCAATTTGTACAAATTGCATTCTATTTGAAAAATATGGTACTTTGTAATAAGCATATAAATTAATAATGTTTCAATGTCAGCCCGGTTTAAAAAGTCATACCTGCATATATCATTCCTATCCTTGAAAATGAAATCATCATACAAAGTCTTAGCTCATGTTACAACAGATTTGCTGTCTTTTTTGAGAATTACACAGTTTTGTCATCAGGTATATTTCATACATTTTTTGTATTAAACAAATCTTTTTTTCTGTTATAAAAAAACCATTTTATTTTTTACAATTATTGTATTTTAGACTTTTGCTTAGGTTACAAAGAGACATAGACATTTAGAATATTGAAAAAATACATAACATAAATTTATTTCTCAGAGTATGATTACAGAAAAATTGTATGAACATCTTCCGTACGTCGATATGTAATATACTTGATTATTTCCCTGTTCTAGTTTGTAGACAAATATACAAGCTGGCCATTATCGAATTATATATGCGAGATTTTTAATGGGATATGCAATGTTTTTTGCTGACAAAAACTCCATTATAAATAGGAGATACAAGCAAACTTATCCTTGATTAACATTAGAAAATTGGAGAAGTTATACAAATGGTAAAGAACATCAATAATCATATTAATTTTAATAAAAGATTCATAAAGATGAAAATACATGTTTGTGTTATACGAACATAATGTAAAGACCCGCTAAATGTTAACGTTACACTATAGGCGCGTCTACGAAAGATGATTTTATTTCATATCAGATTTATCATACATTACAGAAAATGGTACGGAGCTAACTTTCATAACTTCAGTATCAAAATAAAAATTGCGATCTAAGTTAAGATTATTTAGCAGTTCCTTTCTTATCTGAATTAAAGACTAATAATAGTTTCCGTTAAACAGAATATAACAGAACAGAACATATCTTTTATTTTCACCCAAGCATTTTTCAATACAATATGGGGGCATAACACAATTTTTATATAACAGAGAATGCATAGTTCCGGTACGAACAAAAAAGTATATAATCATTTAACACAGTACATTGCCAAAGAGGAAAAAAAAAAACACACACACACACACACACACACACACACACACACACACACACACAAAAAAACTTTACTAAATTACAAAAAAAAAAAAAAAAAAAAAAAAAAAAAATACAAACTATGGAATGATATATCGAGCAGGGGTTTGTTAACATTAAATCGATGTACACCATTAATTTATTATTCTACGTGTAACTACATTTGAAAAAAAAAATAAGGAGGTTGTCTATTGTTATAATTTAAACAGGTATACAACACAATACGCACCTGTATGTATGTATAGCACGATATAAGGTAAAAAAAACAACAAGCATTAGCACAAACATGTAGGAAATCTGCACGTGAAAGTGAAACAAGGATTAAAAACGTGAAACAAGGATTAAAATATCGGCGTAATAATCAAGATAATGTAATCCGCGGCATTTTAATTATGATTTACACAGATTACATGCGCAGTAAGTGTGTGTGTGTGCGTGTGTGCGCGCGTGCTCGAGCGCACGCGCGTGTATATGTGTGTGTGTGTGTGTGTGTGTGAGTGTGTGTGTGTGTGTGCACACACACACGTAGTAAGTGTCTACTGTTTTATTGTAATACATTATCTAAATAGCCTTTAATCATATGTTTTGTATTATAATATTTTATTTTATGATATTTTATATAATATGATTTTCATACTTATATTTGTTTTATTAAATATATTCATGATGGATTATTATGATGCTTTTCTATAAGATAATCACAATATTTAACGGAGAGACCTATGGAAAAGACAATTTCAAAATGATAATACTATGATATAACCATTCGTAAAAATGGCCTACTTAATTTTTGTCTATAGATTTATAGAGTGCAATTAATTGTTTGAATATGTTTTCATTTCACTTCCTGCAAAGTTCTCCAGTTCGTTATTTATTACCATAGGCGCGACACGGATGACCGTTCCGTTAAACTCTAAACTTCTTCTATAAATAGATTTTCGGACTTTCACAATGTTAAGGTCATCATTTCAATTTATAGGTACAGCAGTAACATACATAATAACCCACATGATTAAAAAACCAATTAGCGTGATTAATTGACGGATAAGATAATTTCATTTGAATATATTTGCATTGCGAAATTCTCCAGTTCGCTATTCATTGTACATTTCGCGACATTTCATTTTTGATAATCAAACACCCACATGTCAATCGGAATGATCGGCTTTTATGACAGATAAAAAGGCCCGGAAGTTGCAATTGCCCTTTCACAAAATATATTTTTATTCCATAAAGGGCCTCGCGCAACAATTAACAAAATATGTAATTGCCTTCTAGTGTATCGTTCATATACTCTATGAAATGTTCATTAATCTTTAAAAAGGTTTCGTCGTAGGTTGTCCATTTTGTAGTTTGACTTTCTGTGAATTTCAAAGGGGGGGGGGGGGGGGCGGGAGTACTGACGTAGGATATTTTTTGGTCATTTTGCAATACATTTTTTTTGTATTTAACTTAATCAATGAATTCCCTCAATATGTTCAGATATGTTTAGGTTTAGTACATCTGCTTGACGTTTGGCTATAGCAAACATCTAAGCCTACTCACTCTTTCAGGATCTTCCATAGTAGGTGTTCTCTACGATAACCTAACATCAAATAAACCTTGCTTTTACGTATGCACAGACATGGACGTTCGTTTACATTTAGCCACACGTTTTTCGCGCTTGAAGACCGTTCAGCGGTCGTTGAAAGGTCGCCAGTGAGTCGCCATTGAGTCGTTCACTGCAAAGCAAACGATTAGTAACAACCAAGTAGCGATTGAGTAACAACTGGCTAACGACAGAAGATTAACGTTCCATGAACATTCTTAAACGTTTTTCAGCGTTTGAGATTGAAACGTTTGAAGAAAAGCTAGGTCTGAGTGAGAACTTTTGTGCATGTTCAAAACTTTTTCCGAACCAGCGTTCTACGCCGATTCCCGGCGATTACTGACGTTCACTGACGTTCACACAACGTTCTTCTGGCGCTATTCCGGCACATGGGTGACTACCAACGTTTCTTAAAACGTCGTAGAACGATGACCAGAACGTCATGCTGTGACGGGCCCATAAGGTAATCTAGACTTCTAAAGCCGAGGTCAAAACAGAACAAAACGTCCATGAGCATTACCGCTTGATATATCTATCTCGGGAAAACACCTATTTTATAAATATTCCAAAGTATTTCGTCTTATGAAAACAGAACTGAAGTCAGAATTTTTACTACTACACAACAAAATATTTCATCAAATCATTGTCAATTAACTTGATTAAAAAACATACTAGATTCTTATAACACAATAAAAATTACAAGCTATTGTTTTGACTGGAGTCATAAAGAAATGGAAATAATTAAGCAAAAATGACTTTCAGAGTTATAGGCCTTTAGCAGTCATATTTTGATATTGAACAGGTATTCACAGTTTAAAATGAATATGTGTGTTAGATTTTGAGAAATATATTATGCGAAATGTTAATAAGTTAACCGAGAAAAACAAGAAAAACAATATCGAAAATGAGCATGAGCATAACTGGGCTAAAAGGAATCATAACGGTGACTGTTCTTTTTAAAATTCGTTTCAGTTTTTTATAATAAAAGTTTAAAGCAAACATAGTTTTCATATTTATCTTTGGGGAAAATATCTTTAGTCGAAAAGGGAGAATTACATTACAAAATAGTTACAAACTTATCTACACTTTTAAAAAAAAGTGTCAGATATTAATAGTAAGCATGCATAAAAAGTTCGAAGTGAATAATTCTGATCCAATTACTTGTTATTGTAACTAGATTGTGTTTACAGATACCAGTTCACAATCGTAACAGATGATTTTTATCACAAACGTTTGCGCTCGCAAACAATAATCAGAACATAAAAGATTGTTGCTGCTGAAAAAATAATAAAGAAACCTACAAAAAAGAGTTTATCCAAAGCAACGCTAACATCTTTCCATGTCATTGTTTTGTCGCTTTCATGTCTGCGAATTCCTCTGATTCCTTTTTCTGTGCCTTCTAGGTTAAATTGTTGTCTATCACTTAGACGCTTTTGCTGTTAGAGCTAGGTAAATATAAAATTCATGTACAGACCTATTTCTATTCACTAAGCATATTTTCACGGTTACTTAAATTTTGAATACCTATTTTCACGTTTGTATTTTCAACTTCATTTTTCTTACGTTTCGTCTTCCTGCAAATTAAACAAGATGTGATCTTTTCCCAACATCCCTGTAACTGGGTCGGATGTAGTGTAATGGTAAATCCGCAGGTTGAAAATTGTTGCCAGGGTTATACAAATGCTTGTTATTAACAAAGCAAGTAGATAGTAACTGAAGTATGCCATTGGAAAAGACGTTTTAGGTAAATTATCACCAACGATTGTTAGATATACGGCAATTGCAAGTAAAACAGTTATACTGTACGATATCCTTTCACCACATTCAGCAGGAATGACAAAAACAACGTTGTTTAGATACGCCAAAAATATAATCGGAAAGAATGACATTGACGATGGCGTACCGTGGCTTTCTTTCTATAGTTTATGTATACAGAAAGCTCTGAATAGAACGTAAACAAAGACACATTGATATGTGAATCAATCAATTTCCAGTCCCCATTTTCTAAGAAAAACTTTTGACCTACTTTTGTGTTTTCCACATTAATAAGGACTTCGTCCGGTCTATAACCGTGCGGTGTAAAAATTATGTGACAGGTATGAATATCAAAAGGGTAAAATGTTACGTCGGCATCGCACGCGCTTGAAAATAAATTCCCTGGTTTATAGCTAACATACCCGTTGGATAAAAAGCGTATTTTCTGTTCGTCGGCTGCGATAGGTTCTATTCCACCGACACTGTTGGCTAACGATAGATCCGGTTTCCAGAAAGGACCAGACGCCGTAAGAAGAGAGTCTAATCCCCCGTATTCAGCCGGATTCCATTTCATTTCTTCATCAATCCAAGAAAGCCTAGGAAGACCATTAAACGAAAATTTCTGTTTTACTTCATCAAACTCTTGAATGTAAATGATTTCTAATCTATAGTTCACTACTGTCGGTTTTGATTGGTCGAACGTTGGTCTCGTATTTTTATTATAGTCTGCAAGTTTTTCTCTTAGCAGTCTGTTTGTATCTCTTATTGTGTGACACTCAATGCAGCACATAAGTAATGACGTCAGACATGAAGTCAATACCAAGATCAACATCTCTGTATGAAGATAATGACGATTTTTTTCACTTTCTTAAATAAATGTTTTCTGTCCCTCTTTGACTCTTTTGATTCTAGCACAACTGCAAATTATTATATAAATATAAAGGTTACATAAATTGAAAACAAGCCTCAGAACACAACATCTTCTTTCTTAATTGTTAGAAATGACAGATTAACTTTCGAAACAGATGATAATATCCTAATAATATACCTAAAAATCATTTTTCCGTTTTTGAAACTTTGGATTAATTCTCATCATTTAATGGATCAAAAGCGGTGCAATTTTAAAAGCTAACTGGTAACAGTTCAATGTCGAAAGATTATTATACGTGACATATTATAAGCTTTTTTAACAAGTAATTATACTCATTACTTATGTGTTTCGGACATATTCTGGTCATTCCCAAAGAAAATTCAAAAAAAATTTTTCCCTTTAAACACAAATTTTCAGGGAATTTTAAAATTTTCAGTTATTTATTATACTTTACTAACCCAAAGTGAATAAGAATCTCGGCATCAGTTTGGGTTTGAAATGCGGGTTTTTCTCGACTACCCTTCTACAACAAATTTAAAAAATACTATAGAAGTACTTTTTAATATTAGTTGGTTATAAAAAATAAATACTAAAAGTCACTAGATTTTTTAGCTTCCCTTTCTAACCGAATTAAATACTTAAAATTGGGTCCCGTTAAAACAGGAAAAAAAATTTCGGCGTAAAATTCAAATAAAAATTAATCCGCGGCTTTTTCAATTTAATGTTTCCCAAGTTACTGGAAAGAAAGTGTGTGTGGCACCTGGTAAGTTTTTAAAATATTTTTTAAACTTATCAAAATTGCCTTTAATCATGATTTTGATTATAAAAAATTTTGGGTTTTAAATGATTTTTTATATTCATTTTTTTCATACTTTATTTTTTTTAATAGTAAATTCATGTTTGAATATTTGACGCTTTTCTAAAAAGGAATATTCAAAAATTTTTTAAAATTTTTTGTTTTTTATTTGTTTGTATCTAAAACTGTTTTTCGAAAAATGTTTTAAATGTGCAAAGGGATAATAAAGGGCTTCTTTAAAAACACTGTGCGTTTTTTAAAACAAAAAAATTTAAAAGTAAAAATTTGGGTTTTTAGGGCATAATGAAAACTGTAGCAAAAAAACGGTCTAACCAAAATTTGAAAATAAACCTAATATCAAAATAAACCTTATATATTCACACCAGGGATAGGTAATGGAAATATTTTTTTCAGTTTCAAAATGTTTTGTCTTGAGCATAAATGCACTTGTTTATAAGCCTTTTATTCTTCTTTCCTTAATTATACTTCGTGTAAAATATTCGATATATTAAATTTTATTGTCTTGTTTGCCAGACATTTAAACAAAGTATTACCACGTAGCATAATTGTCAATTAAATCATATCTTTATCGCCTTTGTTAAGTTTTGTCTCTTTTCTGTATAAGCATATTATTACATTAGGCCTAAATATTTTTTGAACATCATGCTTCATTTTCAATAGACAAATAATGTGTTTTGTGAATAATCCCTGGTCATTTACTGCTCTGACAATTTCTATTTTCAGATAAACCGTGAATCATTTGGAAAATTTCAAACATTGTCTCAAAGTATCTAGACATTTCAGGATTTTATTCGAAAAAAGTGTACTCATATGAACAGGTTGGTAGGTACTTTTTTGAATATGAACTTTCATCGCTGCTCTCAAACCTTTTGGCTATGTATTCAACTTATACACTGTTACAATCTTTACGATTGTTATACAATAAACGACACGTATAGCCTTTTGAACGATAAGCTGGCAAATTACAATCGGAAGGTACGACCAACAATTAACCAATCAAACCCAACTGAGGTGAGCTTTGGTTTTCAGCTGATTTCTATTCAGGATTTTGACGAGCTTCACGAAAAACTATCGATGGTAGCTGTCTTACATCTCAGTTGGTATGATGAAATGATCGAATGGGTCCCTAACACTTATGGTGGAATATACACACTTTTGACTGAAAGCGAATCACTTTGGACGCCAAATTTTGTTTTAGCAAATACAGCGGCAAAGTTGGACAAAATTGGCGACGATTGGCAGTCAATTCGACTGCTCTTCAATGGGACAGCTTATTACTTTCCTCTTGGAATTTACGCTAGTGCTTGCAGTGCTGATATTACTCTTTACCCTTGGGACATCAACATCTGCACTTTACAATTCACTCCTCAAGGTCACTTAAGCACTGAGTTAACCATCAAGATACCAGACAACCAAGTTATTTTAGACGACTTCAGTGAAAACGGAGCTTGGAAATTACTCGACACTAGAGTTCAATTACAAAATATGAACAATTACATGGCTGTGGATATTTCATTTATAATTGAACGGAGACCAAGATATGCAGTGATAAACATCTTATTACCAGTTATTTTTATGGCATTCTTAGGCAATGTTGTGTTTTTAATACCAACAGAAAGTGGGGAGAGAATTTCATATAGCATAACAATGCTCTTGGCGATTGCTGTGTTTTTAACATTAGTTGGAGACAATCTACCAAAGACATCCACTCCTATGCCATATTTTAGTTACTTTCTTATATCGTTGCTGGTTACTGGCATCTGTGTAAGTTGTGCAACCATCTTTAATGTGCGGATCTATCATAAAGATGACACTACAAAAGCTAAAGGCAAGTGGGCAAAATTAGTAATATATCTGGACTGTTCGAATAGAAGAAAAAGTAAAGGGAGCAAGGTATCTTTTAATGATATGAAACTAAGCAAGTGCGACGAGGCATTGGTCGACTGCATGCCAGAAACACAGAATTTTAAAACCGGAAAAAATAGTGGACAAAATTTATCTCCCCGAAATGAGCATCTACCTAAGCAAAACCAAGTGAATCCGCTAATTATTGAAGATTGTATGAAGAAAACATCGATTGAAAAAGAATGTCATGACATAAAAATTGCATGGAAGGATGTCAGTGAAGCATTGGATAAAATTTTCTTTGTACTTTTCAATGTTATTATACTTATAACTTCGCTTGTCTTCTTTCTTTTGATTTTAACAAGTGAACGTGTAACGATCGAAATGTCATAACTGTATAGGACTGAACACGTAAGGATAATATTTGTTGCAAATACAAGTAGTACCCACAATTTTGATAGTTATAAAAGTGATTTTATGCGATGACTGGTCGCATAAAGTGTAACCTCCCAACAACGGCAAGAAGTCGGAAAATCCAAAATTTGCAATTGTAAAGTTAGAGCTGACAGTGGCTCGGAGAGTAAATATCACGGATAAGATTTTTATTAGTTTTTTTATTGAACTATATTTTTGTGTTTGTTTTGTTTCACAGCACACCAACACAGTATAAGTTATTTTGGCGCCAAAACAGGAAAGATGAGCTGTTTAATGTTTTAAAATGTATACTTGATGATCAGAGTCTTATATATATACACATAAAAGGGGAGGATTGAAAACCAGGGAAATGTGTGTGTTAAACTAATGTATCATGAAAGGTCAAAGGTCAAAAGTGCAATGGGGAGCGGTGGCCTAGTGGATAAGGTGTCTGCCTCTCAACCCAGGGATTATTGATTCGAGCCCTACTTCGGGGTCATGACCATGTTTATTATGGCACCAGTACTGGTTGGTTCCAGGATGTGGACTCGAAAGTGATTAATAAAAGTTGCAAGAACTTGTTTCGCAATCGAGCTTAAATAAATATGTTTAAACCAAAAGTGCAATGGTTAAACACGAAATAATATCGAAATTTCCCAGTCGTCGTACTTTCGATTTTCACCATCATGGTTTCGTTTATCGTTATTTCGACTGAACACGATGGTAATTTCTTGTTTCTGCTGATTTGAATTATGTGTGTGTCGCGATTGCCTTAACAAGACACAGCATGATTCAGTCTGTTTAACTAAAATTCTAATGTTTGAAATACTTTGCGTCAATGACAAATCTTGTTCCTATTTAATATTATCTTCTTCATTACAAAAATTAGAATATCTCTCTATTTATTGCATGTACAAACGGGTTAATACCATGCAAGTAGAACTGTTCAAATTAAAAGATATTGTTTGAATTGCAATGTTCATGAAGGAGAAAACGAATATCATTTTATTTTTATTTGATCTTGATGTATTATAATGATTAAAGAAAATAATATGTATAACTTTACTATCATAAAAGACCTAGAAAGTTTAAATTCGTTGATTTGCTTAAATTATAAACATATACTGGTTAATTCATACCTATATAAAAGTGTTGCTTTGTTACATAGAACCACCTTGATATCATAGAAACAACATAACTATATTAATGATTCATTGTCTATATATGATTTTATGTGACAGTGTTTGATTATTGTGATTTATATTTATATTTTTTGTTATTTTGTTCATATTTTACTTGCGCACGTTCAAAATAAAATAATAAACAAAAGCTGTTTTAAGGCCAATCCTTTCTCGAGCATTATAGGTTATAAATTTCTCTTTAACTAATATTGTCTTTAAATATTTCGGTGAGGTGAAAAGAAAGTGAAATATCATCAACGTTTCCGATTTGCTGTTAGGAAAATACAACAAAATATTTAACTAGGAACAACATTTACATGTTCGTAAATTAATAGTTAGTGAATGATGACTGAAATGACAAAATATAGAAATAATCGGTGATGTTGTAGAGCTAATATACACTTGCGAGAGAGGGAGGAAAAAATTGAAAATGATACATGTTCCGAAGATATATCGATATTTCAAAATTGACTTCATTTGTTTACTCTTAATAAAATATACATGTTTAAATATTTACAAAAAAAGAAGATAACAGTGATGATGCAAAATAAATTTAGATAACATATACTAAGAGCTACACTAAGAATAATTCTGAATAAATTATGAAATAATTCATGACGTACTATGGACTATAAAGCACTAAAAATCAATATTAACTTGCAGATGACGCTTGAATCTGTGAAAATAAATATAAACAACGACATGTACTGGAATATAAGACCTCTTTGATGCAGAAAAGGACTGGTAACAGTCTAATATTTACAAAATCAAAACTTGAACATGTCCAAATAACATTTCTATCAAGTGGACAATCATACCTGAAACAAAAATATTAATATTGTCCATTAACTTAGTATTATAAAACAAGGGACAAGACTGAAATAACGTCTCTAGTGTAATTCAGCATCTCTTTATCAACAGCTTGAAATCCTTGTTTCATTGTATCATCATTGTCTTTTATAAGTCCTTAAAATGCCACTGAATGTTTTTTCCCATTTTTAAGCGTTTGATTTCGGACAATGGAACACTACTTCCGTGAAAACGTTATAGAGAAGATATAAATTGTCATGATAAGGTCGTCATTTTTTCAATGTTACAACCAATTTGCTCGCTTTAACCATCTGTGCAAACACCTCACGTTCCGTTGATAAATAAATATAGCTTTTAACAACTTATCTACATTATCAATTCGGTTGATGCACACTATTTTGGTCGCTTTCTTTTTCCAAGCCAAATGGTTTAGGCACTCAGAATAAGCATACAAATTAAATTTAATCAAATTTTAAAGGATTAATGGATATATTTCAATATCAAAGTACATGCCCACAATTAAATGTACCAACATCAAATGCTTAGACTGAAAACACGGATAACCAGGTTGGCCTTGGTCTATACTAATGGCAAAAAGGCTGATCACTTTCGGATCCAGTAAGGATTAAGTACGGACTTATATTTTGGGAATGGCATACATGTATTTCACAATTGATTGCGGAAAAAGGAAGAGAGTTTTCGAAATATAGACTATGTCTTTGGAGAGTGCTGGTTTGTGTGCGCGAAAACGATGCAAAGTATTGCGTTACGTACACATTGTGCGTTGCAGCTGACAAATGCTGCTTCAAATACAAGAAGTCAAATGCAACGATCTTAAAAGGAAGAAAGTAAGTATCTAAAAGTGATAATAAGGGAAATATTTACACAGAAAATCAATTCTGCTATTATTTAGAAAATTAAATACATGTAACATGTTTTTCTTTTAACTTAATTATCAATATCTTAATGCACAGAAGAGTCGATGCTTTACGTTGTTTAATGACAACACAAGGCTTCTGCAGTCCCATCGACAGTTTAAGGTTGAAGTGTTTTTTTTATTAAACAGATATTTGACGAAGTTTCTCGTTCTTGACACAAGTTATATATTCGCAAATTGAAACAGTAGAAAATTACTGCACATGTTATATTAGCTTAATAACATCTTTTGAGCTAGGATTTATAAATAAAGTATACTCAAAGGAGACAGCGAAGCTCGATAAATTAAATACTGGACGCAGTAAGGAAGAAAGAATTATGAAAGAAAAAATAATTATAATATAAATATCTCCCTGTATCAGCATCAAGAAAGCACTCAAATGTTCTATATTTTTGCACAACATAATATGCATATGACCTTGTCAATAAATGTTAAACAGAAATTTCTATGCTTTAATGGAAAAGACAGCAATTTGAAATCTGAAGTCAATCCCTTCAAAAACAAAAATGATAAGAGCAAAAAAAATTAAAGTTTTTAAAGTAGCATTATAAGGTCAAAGAGGAAATTTCACTTGAAAAAAGTTGCTAGAGTTATGAACCTTGTCATGCATGATGTGAGTAATAACAAAGAACAATTATTGGTTGATACCATTTATAATTAAAAATCAATTAACAAATGAATTCTAGGTTCAAAAATTAAATGGAGATATTTCTGGGAATACAGGATCTTGCGTTTTATAACTCTTATCCATATGACAAGAAGTTATAGTAAAAATAACATTTGTTAACATAAATTCCAAGTTCAAGGGGGGAATAATTCTGGAAATTGTCACGCTAGAGTTATGAATCTTGTCACACAGCATGTGTGTAATGATAAGAAATATATATATTTGAAGTAACTACATTAAAAAGTAAAGTAGTTATTTCTTAAAGAAAATTCTAAGTTCAAAGGGAGATAAATCTGAAAATATTGTTTCAAGAGTTATGGACCTTGTCACATTAGATGTGGTTGGTGATAAGGAATATGTATTTGGAGTTTGAGAGATACCTTTAAAACTAAAGAAGTTATAGTAAAAATAACATTTTTCGAGTAAAAGAATCTAAGTTCACGGGGAGATAATTATTGCATTATTGCTGCTAGAGTTGTGAACCTTGTCACATAAAATGCGGCTAATGATAAGGAACATATATTTGAAGTATGAAGTTGATCCCATAAGAAATAAAGAAGTAACTGTTAAAATAATATTTTTAAGGAAAGTTATTAGTTAAGTGGAGATATATCTAAAACTATTAGTGCTAGATTTATGAACCTTGACACATAAGATGTGTTTAAGGACAAGGAACATATATTTGAAGTATGAAGTTGATCCCTTAAGAAATAAAGAAGTGACAGTAAAATATTATATTTTTTTAAGAAAAATTCTAAGTTCAAGGGGAGATTAATCTGAAAATATTGGTGCTAGAGTAATCAACCGCATTAGATATGGTTGATGATGAGGAATATATATTTTAAGTTTGCAGTTGATACCTTAAGAATTGAAAAAGTTGTAGTTAAAAATATTTTACTGCACCAAAATTTTAATCTGAAATCTGGACGCGGACGCCGACGCCGAGGCGAGTAGGACAGTTCTCCATATACTTCGTATAGTCAAGCTAAAAAGCGTTTTACCGCTGCCAGGAACAAGCCATGTTCGATTTATAACTGGAAAACACTTGTCAAATGTGTCCGTTGCTTTTACAAACGATGTCTCAATAACACATATTAGACAGCCGTTTAGTCGATTTAGCAATACAAAGGGCAATTGTATTGACACTATGTTTACAAGTATTGATTTCAGCAATAACATTCTAACAAACAGTTTAAATTGTTGACAATGAAGGATGGTGATTTTTATTGATGAAAACATTACAATTAAACTCTATACTACATATCTTCCGAATCTTCTAGTGTTAATATATTAATGTTAAGACACCTCGCAATTAGTCCTTTAATTGTTATACAAATAAATAAAAATGGTGAGAGTCACAGAAAAAAAATCGATGTTGCTAGCTTAATATATATAATTCTGATCAAATTAATCTTTTAAATTCATTCTCTGTTTTGTGCAATTGTTCATACATGTTTTACAATTTTGTGTTACTGGGTTTAATATTTAACTCATAAGTATTACCTACACGATAAGCACAGCACATTATTTATAAAGCTTGAAAAATAATCGACAACATTATTTAGTTTGTAAATCCGAAGACTTTTATCAGTTTTTTAGCCCATACCCTGCTGAAATTGAAATAGGGTGAAATTTGCCTCCAGTACGGAGTAGGTATTTTTTTTAGCTGTCCGAGTTGATTTTCCCTATTCCACGCCTTGAATTTGTAGTAGTGACGTCACAATTGTGAATTGACATTATATCCATACGCTTTTCCTAGGGAAAAATAATCACGTCGGTTTTGTTAAGATCTTCCTGCTTTTTTATGCATCTATAACATAAGTGTGCTAATCTGGTTGACTTGCTTCACTCGTTCATTGCATAAAATTGTATTCTTTTTTTAGTTCTGCGGGTTCACAAGAATACATGTTTGCACACCAAGCTTGAACTTTACAACCCATTAGAATAGCACAAACACAAACAGTATTCACTATAAACTATCATTTTTTGCGCTCTGATGCGATAATTGCCACGAAAACAACCGTGGCTACTGTAAGAAAGATAATGAAAAACACAAAAAATATTTTGTCAATCGCAACGCTAACATCTTTCCAAGAAAATTGTTCGACGTTGTTTATTTTATCAGTTGATGATGTCATTTCCCGTCTGTCTAATATGTCTAAATTCCGTCCATTTCGTACTTGCAGTCTCGCAGTATGTACATTTGGCTTGTATGCATCTCTTACAACTACATATGGGTTGTTGTTTGCATTAACAATACCATTCTGTCGTACTTGTCTGTGGTCCGCATCGGTGTAATTCACATATTTCTTCTGTTTATTACCTTTCCTACACTTAAAGCAAGCAGCAAGTTTTGCCCAAACTCCTGTAACAGGCTCGGACTCGTCATTGTGATAAATGCGAAGACTGAAAATAGTTGCCATGGTAACTAAGATACTTGTTACTAACATCGCAAGTAAATAATAACTGAAGTAAGCCATTGGTTTAGAGGTTTTAGGTAAATTATCACCAACTATTGTTAGATATACGGCAATTGCAAGCAAAACAGTTATACTGTACGATATCCTTTCACCACAATCAGCAGGAATGACAAAAACAACATTGCTTAGATACGCCAAAAATATTATTGGAAGAATGACGTTTACGATGACGTAAAGAGGCTTTCTCTCTAAGGTAAGCGAGATAATCATTTCGCTATAGTATGTAGTATGAATTGTTTGAATATTTGAATCCTTAAAATACCAACCACCATTTTCTATATAATAGGTTGTCCCGACTTTGTTATTTTCGACTGATATATACACTTCAGACTCTCCATATCCTTGGGGTGTAAAACTTAATTCACATGTGTGTCTATCATACGGGTAATATGTTACATCAACACCGCATGCGCTTGAATATGCAGTCGATGGACTAAAATAGGCCTGACCATTTGAAAAATAGCGGATCATTTGCCAGTCATTACCTATCGGCTTTATATCACCTACGCTGTTGGATAATACAATGTTAGGTATCCAGAATGGACCACTAGTTGTAATTAATGAGGCCAATCCTCCGTAATCTGCCGGATTCCATTGCATTTGTTCATCGATCCAGCTTATTGTTGGAACAGAAATAAATGTTACCTTTTGTTGAACTTCATCAAACTCTTGAAAATAAACTACATCCAAACTGAAGCTCACAACGGTTGGTTCTGATTGGTTGAAGGTTGGTCTCGTGCTTTTATTATAGTCAGCTAGCTTCTCTTTAAGCAACCGGTTTGTGTCGTTCAAAGTGTGGCAGTTACCCAGGGAAACTCTGAACACCAGAAAGATTAATAAGAATAGGACCATTTTAGTTTGTCGCATAAATGGATACCTAATGTTGGAGGTCGCCATGGTGCCAACGTTGTTTCGATCAAACTGTCAGATGTAAAACTGAAATAGATTATATGTGACAATTGTAAGGAATAAACCTAAATAATATTAACTTATTAGTTAATCAATAAGCTAAATGAATTCGTTTTATGTAAATCTAAAAACTGGACTATTCACAGAAGATATGATTGCCCTAACTGCTCACCGTATATGTTTTACATAAATAGTTCATTCCGGTCGAGTTTCAAAATCTGACCAGCAATTATGTCTTTTCATAATTTAACTATGACATCCAACATGTTCAGCAGACCGAAACGACGTTAGCTCTACTTTTAGGGACCATCAACAAAATGTCGTTCAAAGTTTATTTATTTTACTTTGTCTTTTTGACAGCTATCATGTTGAGCAGGACTTTAAGAGGATAAGACAGTTGTCGTTTTAGCTAATTTTTCTCTGGCGGTCATCTTGTTTGCCTAGAAGTCTGTAAGTTGATTTTTGTAGAGGACCATCCAAGAATTAGCCCAGGGGTTTAGGAGATGTCGCTGGAATTTAATTGTTAAAACGGAAACGGGGTAGTCAAGAATGTAAACAGAATAAATCAAATCCATATGAAAATCATTTACATTATATACATGTAAACGCTCTTTTGTGTTCTAGATATAATAACAAAATATACATTATATAATCATGCTTAATCATGCTGTGTTCAATAGTCAAATATTTTGTCATTACAAATTCAAATAAAGCAAGTTTTTATTCCAAATATATCAACGGATATAAAGAAGTTTTTCTGCATCACCCTTTAATTAATAGATTCAATCATATTTTACGATTTATATTGCAACAAAATGTACTTCATTTAAAGTACATGTATATAATTAGTTTAATATTGTCGTAGGAAAATTTCGACATATGAAAATAGTAAGAGACGATCTCTTTTCATTAAACTAACTTACAAAAAAATAGAAATGAGCCACGTCATGACAAAACAAACATAGTGTGTGGATCCAGACCAGCCTGTGCATCCGCACAGTCTGATCAGGATCCATGCTGTTCGCTTACCAGCCCTTTTACAAGTAGAGAAACTGATAGCGAACAGCATGGACCCTGATCAGACTGCGCGGAAGCGCAGGCTGGTCTGGATCCATGCTGGTCGCAAACGCACTATGTTGGTTTTGTCGTGACATGTCTCAAATGTATCATCGAACCATACAAAAAAGGTTCGTTTAGAAAGAAAATGTAAGTGAAAAATGGTAAAATTCATACATGTTTACACACTCGTGAAAACATTTTTCATTTCAATCATTTGGGGCATAATTCATATACATTCTACATAACCCATTATATCTTCTCCGGTATAATCAATATATTTAAACGGGAAGTACAATTACACGAACATGATCAGGTTGGGGGTCTCTACCTCCCTTTTGTTATTTCTTTCGGTTCGCCTTTCATATCGTGTATTTTACTGTCATTAAGTTTACTGTAATTTCGCTTCGGTGATCACACATAAACATTGAATAACCGTATTGTAAATGAATGTAAAATGTATAAGTATTTATAGATATAATATACATGTATAATATGTTTAAAACATAGGAACATATGTTTTTGCATGTTTTGTTTTGTTCAAAAATAAAAACTACAAATGTATATTTAATTCGCGTCTCAGAAAGCTTGCATTCTGAAAAGATTTAGTCTTTGAATATTAGCACAGACGGAGTATTATACACTGGTTTAACGGGATAGTATTAAATGACCAATTGTTGCAGATTAAACAAACTTAATGTACAACTGATTTGGATAAACAAAATAAAACGATATCATTAAATATGATATCATAAAATATAATTTCAGCCCCTTAATTAGGGTCAAGAGCTATGGAATTGTGTCACGGAGGTCCAGCAGGTTCAAAGCACGACGAGGCTGCTCATTTTTCTCTACCTGTGACACATTTGAGAACAATACACACTAATTTCGGGATTAAACTTTTAAGAAATTTATAGTTAATATAGCTGCAATAAAGATATATATATATGAAACATCAGAAAGTAAAAAAATAATATTAAATAGATGTGGTTCATCAGACTGTGGTAATATCATATCTAATTTATATAAAATTAATATTTGAACAAAGTAAGAATATCTTAAAATACTGAAACTACTCACCCGAATATATGCGTGTTTTCCTTATTTAAATTTATACAATCCTTCATTTATTCATAAAGATATGCAAATTTTTCAATGGTGTATTAAAGGTTTGAAGTACTCATTTATCTACATGTATCTCTTATGAAACAAAAATTTAGTTCGGTTTAAAGAGAACAAATACAAGACTGGTCATTTTTTTATGCATTGTTAATTTATAGATCATCTTGTACAGTTATTTAAACATTACTTCTATTCAGTCCAGTAGTCGTCCGTCATTATCTATCTTATATTCAATAGCGAGTAAAATGTGCACTTTTATTCAACCAAAAAAGTTTAATCCGGGTCACAGCAGTGAGCGTACAACCAAATTTATTTTTCTATCCCACGACACTTAACTACAGTACTTGTATAATAGGTAGGTTTCTCAATAGAAAAATAGACGATCAAATCACCTTAAACCCCTTTAAGTAAATAGATATTTAAACAACCTTGGAGTTGTTATTATAAGAAATATAAGTCAAATTTCAAAGATCGCATTAAAATTATGATTAACAAACAAAAAGAGAAAAAAAACGCTATTCTACAAAAGTAATCACATGATGAGTGACCTAATTATATGCGCGTACGTTATGTATTTTAAGAGCTAAAAAGATTTTCTATCCCATTCCTATAGAAACACTGGTAGACAAAATGCAAATTACTTTAAGTTTCTTATTATTTGGTTTACTGGTTAATTTGCTTATAAGCCGGTGCTAGAGTGGCATGGACGGTAGCTTGCATCATTTACCATTATCGCCCATTGAGCAGGCTTAATCAAACCGAGCCTGCAGTATTTTCAATTTTGCGGTTTTCTTGTGCGTTTTTTAAGGATTCCGGTTTTTAAATGTATTCATTGTTTACATAATCATATACCTTGAATTCTAAAATACCGACAATTAAAGAAATATTATTTTAAGGACGGTTTATGGATTTACATGATGATGTCCTGTCATGTGCGAATCTCAAATACAATATTAGTACCTGTTCTGTTCTTAAATGGATATTACACATGACAATCTTATTTGAATTTGGTTTTTAATCATACAAACATTTGTCAGGTCACTATTAGACAAATGATGCCAAACTATCTTTATCTCAGAACATTCATACCGACATATGTATTATAAGAACAAGAGTGCATTTTACGTTAACCTTTAGCCGTCCGGTTAGTACAGCGTTGGGCAGTGAATCGGGCGACCCGGGTCCTATTCCGGGAAGGCGCAGGTCACTTCCGTTGTGATTGATCACGAAAAACTTTCTACCGTCATTTCAATATACTTCTGCTCTGACATGTACAGAAGTTATCAGTTCTTTGCGAAAGTAAAGGCAACTGGTACTGGTAAACGGTTTGACATTTTAACAAGAAACGATGTCGTGGCTGCCCTGTGCTCTGGTAAATTAAATGTGATTCCCTGTCGTGGTCCGGAGGGTAAATTACCAACACCACTCTCACCACCATCAAGATAACCTTTACAGTCAGCTGGTTTATGGAGATGACCACTCTAATACTATAACCGTGCAACTCCTATACAGAAATTATGATAAACAAGATCAACAAGGAACGGCGGCGTTCAATGAAAGCAACCCCCACACGATCCAGCAACAAGAAGTGGTTTGTCCACCATTATACCGGTGTTAATTATGCCGGAAGCGTTGTGATATTTTGAAAGCATCAATATCTGTATACTTGAACTTTGAAAGTGTGTAAACCAACTAAACAGTTTTAGTAAAATTTATATTATACTGTTACTATATAAGATATATATGGGTGATGCTCCCTGAATAGGCTTTGGGCACGGAAAAAAGCGGCTGACTATGGGGAGCATAAATGAATTTTACAAGCAATCATATATTGCAGTAGTGAACAATGATATCTTTTTGGAATTGTTATATATGAAATGGGTTCGGAACTACGATGTTATAACATAAATTAAATGCACTTTCTGACTACAAAAGTTTTGAACATATTTCTCTACCATATACTTTGAAGCATATTTCATGTCAATTACATTTGGTTTATTTGCATCCGTTTCCATGTACAATAGACTTTTCAGACTTATTTTAAGACCATTGCAGCGAGCTCGGTTTCGAAAAGCTGCATCATGGCGGACAGAGTTGGTACTTCTAATTTTTACATTTTGACATTGAACACCCTTAAATTCCGAATGGGTTGTTCTAGATTCAAAACAGATCCGTAAGTAATGGGTCAAAACAATAAGGCTTACATGCGTTTTTATTTATATTAATAGGATTCAAGTCAAGTTAATCTTATTAATAAAGGCAGATACTTATAACAAACAAAACATAAGCCCTTGTGAATTTTTACACCGAATCCTGTACAAGGTTACAATTAATACATTGGATAAGGAAATAATATAAGAAAAACATAGTTATGACTAACATTACATTGGTAACTTCAGATAAAAAGTACAGTACTCCACTAACATTAATCCGAATCATGCAACACAAAGGAATTATACATATTAAGATCTAATATAAATAGATAATCCATTAAAATACTTAAATACAGACTACATAAAACATGTTGCATTTAAACAAGACATCAAGCATACAGTTTCATGGTAAAAAACATAAGAGCACAGGTTAATATTAACAAATTATGTATATAAAGAATGGTTAAGAAGCAATAACAGTTGCACAGAAGGTTAAGATGTGCAGTAACCAAACACACAACCACCTATTGATATACATAAATAAGATGATACATAGCTCATAATTGTAAACAAAAACATATAAAACATGAATCTTTGGGTGATGAGAGCCATGAGAATAAACCCAAACAAAAGATCAAAAGCCCAACTGCATAACATATGAAAACAGACTTGAAATATCCAAGTAGTAACAGCTACCCTTTACTGAAAATTACGCAAAAGCCATACTTTTTCTTTAAAAAAATCATAACGGTTTTTGATGTAACATTTTCCTTTATATTTCAATAGGAACTAAAAGAGTAGATGTACTTACAAATGGAGAGAAGAACTGTATCCAAATATTGTCACTCATTGCCTTTTCAGTTGAAGAGAATCTCTATAGACTTTGTAATCAATTAAGCTCTCTGGTTCAAATTTAACAACTCCCATTTTGGTATTGTGAAAGCTCTATTTTGGAATATAGGAGTATTGATTCATTAATAACCTATTTTATTGCTGGTATTGAACATATTTAATTGATGGATGGACTCAATTAATATTTGAACAATTTACGATAGGACAGCTTCATTTACGAACAAATGTTTCAAGATTACAAAGATAATCCTTCGTTTATAAATCATGGCACAATATTCAATTGAGCTTTATTGAATTATTGAATACAATTTGATTGGTTGATACAACATTTGTTTCTTTTGTGTTTATTCAATTGCATTCGGTCATGTATGATTAATTGTTGTTTTCATTATCATTATTATTGTCATTGTTGTTGCTTTTCAGTTGTTGTCATTCCTGTTGTTGTTGTTGTTGTTGTTGTTGTTATTATCATCATCATCATCATCATGATTATTATTATTATTATTATTTTTTTTTTTTTTATTATTATTATTATTATTATTATTATTATTATTATTATTATTATTTATCATCATTATTATTATTATTATCTACATTTAATAGTATGAATGTCAAAATTAATGTAATATGTTTTGTTGCGGTTAAATTAACTGCATTTAATAGTATGAATGTCAAAATGAATGTAATATGTTTTGTTATGGTTAAATTAACTACATTTAATAGCTTGAATGTCAAAATGAATGTTATATGTTTTGTTGCGGATAAATTAACTACATTTAATAGTATGAATGTGAAAATGAATGTAATATGTTTTGTTATGGTTAAATTAACTACATTTAATAGTATGAATGTCAAAATGAATGTTATATGTTTTGTTGCGGATAAATTAACTACATTTAATAGTATGAATGTCAAAATGAATGTAATATGTTTTGTTGTGGTTAAATTAACTACATTTAATAGTATGAATGTCAAAATGAATGTAATATGTTTTGTTGTGGTTAAATATACTACATTTAATAGTATGAATGTCAAAATGAATGTTATATGTTTTGTTGCTGTTGAATTTACTACATTTAATAGTATGAATGTCAAAATGAATGTAATATGTTTTGTTGTGGTTAAATTTACTACATTTGATAGTATGAATGTGAAAATGAATGTAATATGTTTTGTTGCAGTTAAATTTATTTCATTTGATAGTATTAATGTCAAAATATATGTAAAGTTTTTTTTGCTTGCGGTTAAAGTTACAACATTTAATAGTATGAATGATATGTTTTGCTTGCGGTTAGATTTGATAGTATGATTGTCAAATTTCAAATTGCCAAAATGTGAAAGTTATATATTTGCTTGTAGTTAAGTGTATTAGATTTGATAGCATGAAAATAAAAATGAATGTAATATTTTTTGCTTGTTATATTAATGTTAATTTGAATGTAATATATTTTGTCTTCAGTTAAATCTATTAGAGTTGATATTATGAATGTCAAAATGAATATCTATTTTGTTTGCGGTTGCATGTATTAGATTTGATGGTAGGAATGTCAAAAAAGTGTTGCTTGCAGTTTAAATTAATTAGATTTGAAATTATGAATGTAATATATAATGTTGAGTTGAAAGTATTAATGTCAAAATTAGATAGATATCTTTTATAATTTCTGTCTCATCCTCTTATTCCAAAATGTCACCTAAAATTTCCTTAATGACTCATTTCAGAAAAAGTAAATTTAATAATCATATGACAATTACTTAATAAAACAGACATCTTTCCTGTCATAATATTTTAACCTATAACATTTGGTTTTTTTCTCCAAATATTCACATCTCTAAATGGTATGTAAGAGTGTATGTTAGGTACCATTTTAATATTCTCTTTCTGATATGTCATGTTGAAATATGTTTCTTTGTTGTTGTTGTTGTTTCATTCATTTTTAAATCCTGATAGTAGATAAAAATGACGTAATGACTGTTTAACATTGATTAGCATTGAATATAGGTTATATTTGGTTTACTTATGATTTACTTTATAGCAATCATGCTTGAAATAAGACAAATTCAGACATACATATAATGTAACCAAGCAATTCCGATATTAATAAAAATAAATGTCATAGATCATTTACAATAGATAAAACATCAATTCAACAATATTTAGTCGTGGTCATGTAATTCACAACTTAATGCTCTTCGCAGCAAGACCTTTATACTTGCACAACTTTTAACTGCTTTGGTAGTATATAATTCTTCCACATCGATTCAATTTAATGTCTAAAACTACTATCTTTACTTATAATGTAAACGGAATATTTG